TGCGCCTGTTGACGGGAATGAGACGACGGACGGCAGCGTCTTGGCCTTCGCGTCGCCAGTGCTGTGGTTGACAATCTTGACGTGGTTGGCGTGCAGCTTCCAGTACCCGACGCCTATATGAGGCTAAGAACTGCACGTATAGATAGATGAAGTTCGAACACGAGTTGGTCGTCCCGAGGTCGATGCCAATGCAGACCGTGCCATTGCGGAACTCGTGGGCGTTGACGCCCCAGCTCTCATACGTTGCATCGCGGCTGGACATGGTGCTGATATTGAGTTTGGCAGGTGACACCAAGTATTTTTCACTTCGTCCCCATTTTGGCGATATATTATCAATTGGTCCCCAACTTTTGCCAATAGTATCACTTGGTCCCAAGACATTTGATTGACCGAAATAGGCCAATTAATTGAAGCTGATTGGACGGAATCTTAGTAATTCCTGCAGCCCAGCACGGTTGCTCTAGCACTAAAAGATGGCGCTTTATGAAATTCGGGCATGGCTGGCACCTGTGAAACATTATACATATTTATCCAATACGGGAGGTTATGACGTGGCGTCTTGACGCAAGAAGTCCTTGGGGTGCTATGTACAAGTATGATCGATCTTTTGCAAAGACGCAAGTAGCTATGTTATTGCTTAAGACGTGATGTGCTCGTACATGATGGTCGCTCTCGAGGCTGCCCGCGTCGCTAGGTTCCAGCAAAACACGAGGAATGCATGCGCCATCTTGGAGAGGAGCGGGTCTCTGCTTCGTTTTATAGCTGTCTCGACGAGATTCATGTAGCTTAGTAACAAAGACATTCGGTAAGTCAGCTACGGAAGCATTCGTGAGACGTACCATCCATAGAGAGCGGTTCCTTGACTTCGGTCATCTTCATCTGGCCCTTTTGCTTGTACGTCGCAACGCTCCGCTTATACCCATGCAAAATACCTACGCAGTAGTCAGAGACCATGGTTGTCGGAATGTAGAGACATACTCGTCATCATCGCGTCAAGTTTTGGCGAGATCGCGCAGACGTCCTTGTGCAAGAAGACAAGCGCATTCTTGGCGCCGTTGACGTGGTTGCGCGAGTTGTATTGCGGACGAACGGTTGGCCGTTGCGGTCGATTTTGTGCGTGAGGCAATCATAGTAGCGCTGCACGACTTCGACTGGCAGTGGGAGCTTAATGAATCTTGATCGTCCACGAACGCATTGTTCGACGCCCGGTACTGCTTGCGCGTCGACTTGGCCACGCAGCGGTAGATGGCCGCGGCACCTGGGATGTCGGCCGGCAGGGTACGAGGAGCGTCGGTCGAGACGGGAGGTGAGGAGGAAACACTACTGGTGCTTGTATTGCGGCGCGCCTTCTTTGCGCGCGCGGCGGCAGTCGGAGGAGCGGTCGAGCGCTTCGCCATAGATTTTTCGAAGTGGATCAAGAAGCGACCACTCATTTAGCGGTAAAATAATGGTAATTACGATGTTTGACCGTTTTTTGGGCATTATTATGGCCCGATTTCGCTCGAATTTCGTAAAACCAGAATAATCGAGGCACTATCTCGGGGACCCTACTTCAATACTCAAAGCGAGCTTAAAATATGCGGATGAGCCGGATACGCCAGATAGTGGCGCCAATATCTCGTATTACGAAATTGGAATTTCGCTGGGCGTTATTTCCAGAGCCAGGCCGAAGGATTATTTCGTAAGCCAGCGCTATTTCCAGATCCAGCCCGAAGGATTATTTCGTAAGCCAGTGCTATTTAGTGCTGGAGCAACAGTGCTGGGCTGCAGGAATTACTAAGATTCCGTCCAATCAGCTTAAATTATTTGGCCTATTTCGGTCAATCAAATGTCTTGGGACCAAGTGATACTAGTGGCAAAAAGTTGGGGACTAATTGATTGTATATCGCCAAAGTGGGGACGAAGTGAAAAATACTCACCCACGCACATACAGTGTATTGAATATGAGAGGATGACCTAAACGTGTTGTCATCGTGTGCAGCAACGTCTCATGTTATGGTGTCGATTACAACCCGGCTGGAATATAATACGACTGCAGTACAAACTCGTCGTTGATTCGAAACACGTACTAGCGTCCCGTTTGCGCGGCGTTGTCAGCATCCAGCTGGGCAGCCAAGTTGTTGGCGTTCTCGGCGATGGTGTCGATAATCGCCCGAATGCCGTACACGAAGTCGTCTGCTTGGTCGTTCACGGCGAAGTGAGCCATCGCTTGGACCAAACCAGCAATGTTGACGTCCTCGAGCACCGTTCTCGCGGCGTTGAAGTTATCTTGGCGCGTCGCTGGCTCACGTAAAATGTCGACTTGGGCCTCTTTGACGTACTTGCCGCCCTTGAAGCCGCGTGGGTACGCAGTAAACCGAATATCGGTGCGGTCACGAAGCAAATTACACATCTCGGCGAAGTTCTCTTGCGTGAGCAGCTGGTAGTCCGTGATGCTGTCCCTGAACTTGATGTGGTATTTCTTGTTCCCCAAACCGGCACCGATGAACTTGTAGTTGAAGATCCCCGGGATGGCGTTGGGATTCTCTACAACCTCGTCGAAATCCATGAGATGGAGCTTTTCAGTGTTGAAGCAGCGGACTGGCACTTCACAGCGAAGCGTCACTTGACGTCTTGGATCCAATGCCATGAGTTCGTCGCTTGCTCGGCTCTGCAAATGTAAAAATGATCCTCTGTTGCAGCTCGTGGTGGAGGCAAATCACCCTTATATGTTCGATTTATATCTTAAACGTGGACGTTTCAAGTCCAGCTCGACCACCACCGAATGATTCTTTTAACCACTGGGAATGCTTCGATTTAAAGTCGACGTCGGAGAACTAATCCAGAGAAAGAGTTCGCGATCCCTCTCTTCAACCACTAAGACATCAATACACTACACTGCTTCGTGATTGTCACCCCTTGTAGCAACCAATGAATGCTTGCGATGGTTCCTAAAGCAAGGGATACCCATGAACGACAGTTTCAATGCCCACCACTGACTTCAATATGGACGTTGAAAGTCCATTTTAATCGCAACTGAGCGACACAGACATGAAGTGTACTAGTACTTGTACTATTTTATGCTGTATCTTTTGAGCATTCGACTTGAAAAAAAATATTCAGAACAATTAGCTAACGGTACTGACGACAGACAGCGAGGCGGGAGGTTGTACAACTGCGATTGAACCCAGAACCTAAAATGATACCAGCAGCGAGGCGGGAGGTTGTATAGCTGAGATTGAACCCAGAACTTAAAATGATACCAGTTGAAAGCACAGCTATACAACCTCCCGCCTCGCTGTCTGTCGTCAGTACCGTTAGCTAATTGTTCTG